TAAAAAAAAAAAAAAGAAACAGGCTGAAGTTGAGACTCTCGCAGTATAGTAGTTTTCATTACCATGGTATCGGGCACAATAAGGCTTTGGCTTCTCTCATGAATGCTGAAAGTAGCCATGACTTTCAAAGAGACATAGTTTATTTCTCTTACAGACAACTGTCGGGGTAGGTACCCTGGTCTGGTATGATGGCTCCGGAGTGTGGTGGGGACCAGGTTCCTTCTGTCCTGTTGCTCTGTTCTCCTTGCCATCAGTTTTCCTGTTGCTGCGGTACAGGATGGCTGCTCTAACTCCTGCCATTAGGTCTGCATTCCAGCCAAGAGAAAAGGGGAGAGAGGAAGGAGAGAGTATCCACCCTCCCTTTAAGGGCATGTTTTACAAATTCCGTAGATCATGTCTTCTCACATCTTTTTGGCCAGAACTTAATTACCTGGTCCTACTTGTCTGCAAGAAAAACTGAAAAATGGAGTTTTTAAGCAGAGCGGTAACACGCCTCAGCTAGAAAGTGGGTTCTCACTCCCGAGAAAAAGGAACAGAAATAAGGAGGCGACGCACACGCTCCGCCACATGAGCTTGAGATGCAGACAGGCTGGACGTCCAGAAATCTCTTCCTTAGAAGGAAACATTTCAGTTAGCATTCGTGCAATAATGCCTTTTTCCAGATACTGTTCACATGGTTCGATTTGTCTCTGGGCCCTGACCATGTGCCTCTCTAGGCAGCAGTAAAATCGTGTTCGTGATTGTATTCTCTGTCGCAAAAATGAGTCAAATTAGAAAAAAAAATACAGCTAGAACTTTGAAATCCTCATTGGAGAAGAGCACATTTTTGTCTGTTTATCCGCATCAAGGCAGGTGATCCCGCTTCAAGGGTCTTGTTACTAAATAGCTACATTCAGTCCCTCTCTCTCTGACCCTCCCCTGTTCATGCTCTGTCTCTCTCTGTCTCAAAAATAAATAAACATTAAAAAAAAATTAAAAAAAAAAAAGGGGGGGGGCGCCTGGGTGGCTCAGTCGGTTCAGCGTCCGACTTCGGCCCAGGTCACGATCTCGCCGTCCGTGGGTTTGAGCCCCGCGTCGGGCTCTGTGCTGACAGCTCGGAGCCCGGAGCCTGTTTCGGATTCTGTGTCTCCCTCTCTGTGACCCTCCCCTGTTCGTGCTCTGTCTCTCTCTGTCTCAAAAATAAATAAACATTAAAAAAAATTTTTTTTAAATAAACAGCTACATTCGTGTTGATAACCTTGGGCATGTGTCTTTCTTTCCTGAGCCCTTCTACTTTCAGACGCTTCTGTTTTGAACCTCTTTTGTGTGGGGGGGGGGGCCCCGCCCCGGAAGGTAAAACCAGGCACACATTTTCCTCCTTTGTCCCCGAGATTCGAGGCACCGCAACCGATGGTGGCCGGCTTCATCTTTGTCATTTCCATTCGGTCCTCGCTGCTTCCCACCATTGCCCGCCGAAGAAATCTCAAATTATATGGTGAGCTTCCGCAGCAGCTAAGAGTGGTAGAAGCACCTTGCGGTTACTTACACGGAGCGGCCCCTTGTGTGTACGTATTCTCCTGTTCCTTCCCAGGGCTTCCACCGATGGCCCAGGGACGGCTCATGGCTGTACCCATATGCCCCCTAAAAAGAGCATTGCTATCTGTGTAACTGGGAGGGGAGAAACGCTGTGGGACACGCAGACGTGCACTGGCTTGTAACGCGGGACACTGTGCATCCCTGCAGGGTGAGGCTCCCTGCGGAAACCTGGCCGAAAACGTGGGTGCCTTTCATCTCCTTCCTCGGACTCTCTTCAGGCACAGGGCCCGTCACCTTCGAAATTCAGAGTTCGCCGTTAAAGAGAACTACCCCTTTAAAGAAAAACCCTTGATGAATGCAAATTGACACTAAATGGAGTTTAAGAAAATGATCAGGGTTTTTAAATATGATTATAATCAGTGAGAATAGCAGAGCAGAGTCAAATCATTATTGATCTCACTCGTGGGGGTGGGAGGGAAGAATGGCACATTAATCAGAAGAGATTTTCTGGAAAGCCTGTCCAACTGTGAGTTCTCCCTGGGGTCCGCCCCCGCTGCAGGACCCCCCCTCCCGGCCCCCCAGGATGTTGGACACTTGGTTAACCCTTGATGAGCCTCCCCGGGATCTGCAGTCTCATCAAAGGGGAAAGGCTCTGTAAAGATTGTTATTTGTGGTCTTGAGGAGTGAAGTGGAAAAGCAGCATATGGTTGGGGTTTGGAGTCAGACTGCTCTTCACTCAGTGAGTTCATTCGACAGATTGTTTCTGGAGCACCTATTATGCGCCGCTCACAGTGTTTTAGGTGCCAGAAAAAGCTACAGTCGGGACAGAGCAGGGCCTGTCCCTCACGGAGCTGACTGTACTGCAATGGGGATGGGTCCAGGCCAGAGCAGTGAGCCGGTCGACACCCAGACGTCACAGCGGTGGAGGTAGGGGCCGCGCTGAGGGCAGTAGGAGCCCCACACGTTTGCAGCCTGAGCGTGGCGCTTGTGTTAGCTCCCTGAAGCCTCTCCACCACCCTCGCAGGACGGGCTAGGATCGTCCCATCGCACAGGCGAGGACACTGGGGCACAGAGAGGCACAGGACCTCTGCATGGAGGCTAGAGCGGACGGCCGTCCTCACAGCTATGCCATGCGGGGCTCACTGGCGGTCACCTCCCCCCCCCCCCCCCCCCCCGGGCATAGGCCGTGCCTGTCCATCTCTGTGAGCTGCCGTCGTGGCCGGGGGTCTCCTCCCAGCGTTTGCCTTCGAGCCCGTCGGGTGCTGTGGGGGGAATGTGCATAGCAGGGACATGGATCCGACCGTGGGCTCCCGTGTTTCTTCCTGAGAGTAGAGCTCATCCGGGGGTCTGGACCCATGTGTGACCCACGCCGTGGTCCAGGCAGGCTCTGCCGTGGGGCTTGAAGGTCTCCATCATTTTGAACGAGAGCCCACGTTTTCATCTGCATGAGGCCTGCCAATGAGGCAGTTTGTCTGGATGACACAGTACCCCGAATTCCGTCGAGGAAAGTGGTTGGAGAGGAGAACGGGGGGCAAGGCCTAGGTTTGCCTCAGGGCCCATCTGGGAGGAAAGAGGCCCCACGGTCACCGCTCAGAAGAGCTGCATTGTGTCATACGGGTCCTGGAGAGTAAGGGAGAAGGCGTAGGCTTCTAGAAGGTTCTTAGATTTTGTCTAGGTCTTGAGACATCTAGAGCAACGGAAGGGGGAGACCACCCCCTTCCACACAAGGCTTCCACAGAGCCACAAAGCTCTGCCCCCAGGAGACATGTGTGCACAGTCCTTCGAATAGCACCTGGCCCATTGGCCTTCTCCCCCGGTAAACCTTTTATTTTAGAATAGTTTTGGATTTACAGAAAAGTGGTTAAGATAGCTCAGAGAGGTCCATATAGCCCACACCCAGTTTCCCCTGTTTTTAATTTTTTGTATTAATATGGCATATTTGTTACAGTTAACCATACATTAACTATGGGTAAAGAATTAATAACAATTTTACAGTTTATTCAGATTTCCCTATTTTTTTCCCCCTCATGTTCTTGTTCAGGCCCAGAATCCCACCCCGGACACCACATGGCATTTATCATCCCGTCTCCTTAGGCTCCCCTTGGCTCTGACGGTCTCCCAGACTCTCCTTGTCTGTGATGACCTTGACAGTTTGGAGGAGAACCGGCCAGGTGTATTGAGAGTAGGATGTCCCTGTATTGGGATTTATCGGATGTTTTCCCCATGATTAGTTTGGGGTAATGGTTTGGGGAGCAAGACTCGAGAGGTGAAGTGCCCTCCTTGACCTATCATACCAAGAATGCAGGCTCTCGGCCTGACTCACCTCGGTTGATGTTGACCTTGACCCTCTCTGGCTTGAGGTCTGGCAGGCTCTCCATGGCACGGTCACCCGTATGCCCACCCTCTGACTTCTTCCCTGCAGGAACTTGGCTTCCGTCTCCCACAAGCGTCCAGCCTCTGCTCCCCTGCTCTTGCGTGGCTTCCCTTCAGTTACAAGACTCTGCCCTCTGCCCTCCAAGGGGGTCCCCGTTCAGCTGATTCTGTGTCTCGTGATGCATGGTGTAATCAGGATTTCTGGGACAAAGATAACCCAGAGCTGCTGTGTGAGACCAAGTTCGTGTAGTCTTTACCTGAACCCAAACATTATTGGAGAAGTAAATTACTTTTATTTTCCTTGAAAATATGTGGTGTGAACTGCATAGAATCCTCACTGAGAAAATGTATGCAAGGCCTGTAATCAGAGGAGAGATACCAACTAGAAAAAACGGAGAACCATAGGGTACGTTTCTGCACTGAAACCTGCTTTAACTTTCATCATTTACCCTGTGCTGTTTCGTCGACTCCCATCTCTGCTCCCTGAATTTACGAGCAGGTGGGCAGAGCCTTCTGTGCCTCAGTGACCTTCACGACCGTGGAGCACACATCTGATTCTCTTCCAGGGAGCACAAGGCAGGCAAGGAAGGCGACGTTCAGTGAGAAGAATGGATAGCCTTGGGGCCTCATATATGGGGGAGAGAGATTTCTGAGGTAAATACACTAATAATTTTCTAGAATAGAATTTTTGAAGGCTGGTTTTGCATAGTGAGGTTAAAAACGTCTTGAACTGACAGGAAGGATATAGGGTACTGATTTTTCGGCCTGGCCATCGGTCAGTCCGGTACTTTCTGTCTCTGTATCGTGGCCTTCTGGGTCCACCTGAAGTCCTCATAAATTCGTTTCTCCTTCTGGGCCTGTCCCAGGTCCCCTGCAGCCCCCAGACGTTTTCCTGGCGTTGCTGTACGTAACTGACGACGAACCCAAAAGTGAGCATTTGGACCAAACCTTTCATTTTGTTTTTCTTTCTCCTCTGTCCTCTGGCAGGTGGAGAGGGGAAATGAAAGCCCAAGCGTCTTCCCGGGCTGTTGACTTGTCCCTTCAGGGCCCCCCCCCCTTGAGGGCAGAGTCCCTTCCTCCGGACAGGGGATCGTTTTCTTAGGAGCCCTCTGAGCTTTGCGCAGTGGCAGTATCGTAGCCAATGAGGTTTATCCGAGGCGCGATTATTGCTAATTGAAAACTTAGGAGCCCTCTGCCCTCTGGGGGAAAGAGACGTGGGTTTTTTTTTTTTTTTTTTTGGCAGAAACAAAGCTGACCCTTGTCCTTTTCTGAAGTGGGTGCCATTGGCGAGCCCACCAGTAACGGCTGAGGGCCTGCCCTAGTTTTTTTCCTCCTGGCTTCAAAGGAGAAGAAAAAGGGGCTTACTCTTTGTCTCTCTCTCTCCCCTCCCTGTGTGTGAAAATCCTTGAGGGAGAAGCGACGAGCATAACGGAACTCTCGTCTAGAAAATGTCCCCGAGCCTGCAATTACTGGAGTGTGGCCGCCTCACGCAGAACTCTAGAATGCATTTCCACGTAATGCTCCTTTCCGGTGTTATTATCTGCATCAGGCCATTTCCGCTGTGCGCGTCCTTGCCGCTCGCGTTGGTTAGAGGCTAGCTGAGGCTTCTCACCCAGAAAAGAACCTTCCTGATAACAGACTATACCCGAAGGCCTTTTCTAGTGGGTATGGGTTAGGGGACCTTTTGGGGAAAAAAAAAAAAAAAATAACCTTGGGTCCTTGTATCCACAGAAGTGGGAGAATTAATGACATCAGAGAGCCTGATAATTTTCCAGAATAGCCTGAAGGTCGTCTCTTCATGGTGGCATTAAAAACGTCTTGAAAACAGGGGATGGGCTGCGGGATGCTGGCTGGCTGGCTGTCCACGCCGGCCCCTGCTTTGCCCTTTGCCTGTGGGCTTGGCTCCTGAGTGTTTTGGAGGGCCCGTGAGCCGTGTCTCCATCAAGACCAGTCGGGGCCGTCTGACTGTCAGGGCCTTTGTGAGGGGCCCCGTCACGAGATGTCTTGCTTGATAATAATCGCCCCGTCCAGACCCCGTAGCCTTCCAGGGCGGTGCCTGGAGCCGGTCAGGGGCCGAGGTCACCTGCCCAACCTGGTACCTTCAGTCAGATGTCCGACTTTTCTGAGCACAGCCGGCCCCCGGCCAGCTCCCCCTTTCCCTACACCCTAAGGCGGGGTGGCCAGAGTGAGCTAATGGAAATACGGGGCACCCAGTTAAAGCTGAGTTTCGGGGGGCGCCTGGGTGGCGCGGTCGGTTAAGCGTCCGACTTCAGCCAGGTCACGATCTCGCGGTCCGTGAGTTCGAGCCCCGCGTCAGGCTCTGGGCTGATGGCTCGGAGCCTGGAGCCTGTTTCCGATTCTGTGCCTCCCTCTCTCTCTGCCCCTCCCCCGTTCATGCTCTGTCTCTCTCTGTCCCAAAAATAAATAAAAACGTTGGGAAAAAAAAAAAAAAAAAAAAAGCTGAGTTTCGGATAATGATATCTTCTTTTTTAGCTTGAGTGTGCCCCAAACGTTGTAGAAGACATACTTAACGCTAAAAATGATTCCTTGCCAACCTGAGATTTAAACTTAAGCAGGCGGCCACATTTTATCTGGCAACTGTCCCTAGGACCCTCAGAGCACCCTTGCTGGCTTAGACCTCCCTGGGGGGCTCCATGCGTTTCAAAATTTACCCTGAACTTTCTTTCAAATCTGGTTGCACTTCTGAATTCCGGTCAGTTTGGGGGTTCCTGCTCGTTTCTGCCCGGTTTTCCCTGGGGCCCTCCTTGTGGCCGGGTTGATTTCCGGACTGTGACACCATCACTGGATTGTCTCTTCAGAGGGATGGGAGGCTGGTTCCAGTCACCGGGCGTCTGGACCCTCAGTGTCCCTCCGAGTGTCCCTGCCCATCTTCCCTCTGGGTCCTTGGCTCAAACGCAAGGGGTTTCCTTCTTCCCAGGGCCCGAGGCCTCCCCGCCCCACACCACAACGGAAGGGCAGACAGGTGGAGGGGCTTTCCGGGGCCTTCGCCCACTCCCTCACCGGTGGCGAAAGGCCACCTTCATTCCCTTCCTTTTCAGAGCTAACTCACGGAAGGAAAGGGGTTCATTTTCTCTTCTCTTTGAAATTCGTGAGGAAGAGAGCATCAAAGCTGCTGCATTCTGGCTGAGAAAATGTGCTCGGAGAAGCTGTAATCTGTAATCGAGAAGCTGTAATGGGTGGCGAGCTGCGATCTGACGTACAGGGTACATTTCTGCGCTACAGCCTGTTTTCAGTTTTATGACGCACCTCATGCTGCTTCGCCTCGTCTCGTCCTCTCCCCGTCGTGTTCATTAGAGGCCGGGTGTGGATTCCTCTCCCTGAGAGAACTTTCACAGTAACGAAGTGTACTTCATTCACGGGCGCTCCCCACGGTTACAGCAGTGGAGGATATTGTGCAAGGGAAATGGGCAGATAGCCTTGTTTTCTCCTGTAGGAGAGGAATAGTTGAGGTAAAATGGGCCGATGACCTCTCAAAAGAGAAGTTTTCAAGGTTGCCTTTGCGTAGAGAAGTCGAGCCCTCTTCAGAGTGAGAGTGTGTGGGATCCCATGATTATGAGTATTTCTTTCCGTGGCAGGCTGCCGTGGCGCTCTCTTTCTGCGGACCAGCATCCTTTGGGGTTGAAGCCCACTTGCCATTTGCTCCTGCTCTCTCCTCCCTTTTTCTCAACTTCTCGTGAGGGGCCCGAGTGAGCAAGTCTCCCAGAACCCGCTCTCGGCGCTTCCCACCCTCCGTCTTTGATGGATGCTCGTGCAATTTTCTCATTATTTTCCTGTCAGCATCCGCAGAAACAGTGGAAACTACTTTATTTCAGAGCCATTATGTTAGTTTACCCCATGATAATTTGAACTGTGTTACTCTGTCTCTGATTTGAATTTGGTAATAACATATTTTTAAAGACAAGTCAAGAGGAGTTCCTGAATGCTTTTTTAATGACAATGGCTTCAGTGGCAGTTTGCACCCTGCGGCCGCCGCGGGGGCCCGCCCCCCCACCTTGAGTTTCCTGTCGCGGGACCTTCACTTTCCGTACATAAGTGAGTTTTCTATTGGGAGAAAATTTCGGAGAGCTGCTCTTAACCAGCCTAGCTGACTTTTCTCCGAGAAAATGAGCGAGTGGACAGCTGGGTGATAAGGGGCGCCGGTGACCCCACCCCAAGCCTGCCCGAGACCGCCACCAGGGAGCATTCTGGGAGCTGCTCCAAGGCAAGGGTTCCTAAAGATCGTTTGCGTGGCTTAAATTCCGTTCTTGCCCCGCACCCCCTCGGTCCCTGTAAGGTCGTTTGTGAGGAATTGTGTGTCTGCCTCAAGCTTCATCTCCCACTCCACCCTCCACCCCCCCTCCAGGTGGAATGTCTGGGTGCGATGTTGCTTGCGCTCTTTTCCAGACAGGAGTCAAAGGGCACCTTCCATTTTCTGTCAGACCATGGATTTCCTTCCCGATGTTGCTTTAGGACTGCAAAATAGATGCCTCTTTTGGGGGGGTGGTGGAGTAGAAGTCTTCAGGAAAGGTGTAAAGATTTTTTTAAATGTCTCAAAGCTTGGACCTTCTAGATGGTTCCAACACGTCAACTGCTACTCTCAGAAAAAAAAAAAATTGAGAAATTCGATTTCTTGATTCGTTGGGATGAAAAATGACTTCTGAGGCAGTAGTCTCTCTTTTGTAGTCTCTTGTCTTTCCTTACTGTCGCCTCGGGGGGTCTTACCTGTATTTTTAGGTAAGCTTTTGCTTGCTTGTGTACTGGAGCTTTTGAATTTGCAGACTGATTAGGTTTTAGAGAGGATAAAGGCGCTACTCTGAGTCTGGGAGGTAGTTGCTGAAGTAGAAAGAAAAAACCCTGTACCTCAAGTTCCACATCATAAAAGGCAGGATTTCTAAAGCTGGTATGAGGACAAAAGAGTGATTTCATAGAATTCTGTGAGAATTTGGCCCACGTCTTCCTGTTTTTCCTCCTCCTCTCTTTGTTGCCTGCGTCTGAGCTTCCGCGGCGCAGGGAACAGTCAAGTGCAAGTGTCTGTGGCCTTCAGAAGCAGGACAGGTCCCATTTCGTCCTTCGTTCCCCGCTTTGGTCTGAAAGAACTCATCCTCTTTTATTTCTTTATCATGATCCGTAGAAATCACGCAGAGGCTTTGGCTCAGAGAACACTACTGGAGCCGCACTGCTACAGGATCACACTTACAGAAGTCCTCTTTCTTCGGAGGTGGAGATGTTGAGAACAGAGAAGCCACGTTGAAAGTCTTTCAATGGCGGCCTAGTCCACCGGGCCCAGGTTCTTCCATTGTGAAGAAAACCACACCTTCTTGAGTAAACTTTGGTACGAAAGTCTTTCAGGAGCCTTTTGGGGCCACTGTTCTTCTTTCCCGGTCCTCTTACTCTTAAATAGCATGTAAGAAATGCTGTTGAATTCCGTCCGTGTGCAAGATTTTACGTTACTGGAGTATCTTAAACAGGCTCTTCCACTAGTGTTGTCTAGAAAAAGTATCTGAGTGGAAGAGGGTTTCCAGCTTTCCAAACAAACACCCGCCCTTCCTCAAGAAAGCAGAGAGAACCACACTGACAGGTATTCCCAAGGAAGAAATTACCTAAGCACCACATGAGGTAGAGAGTATCTGACTGTGTGAGGAAAACAGAGAAGTGTTCCCTCCTCCTCTTTTCCTGGGTTTCTGGTCCAGTTGAGTTTTAGTCGTCTACAATTTAGGATTGAAGAAAGAGCTAGATTCTCCCTGAACGTTTATCTTTTCACTGAGACTGGGCCGAGAACGTTTTCTTTCCTAGGGTGATTGGAAAACCAAAACTGATGAGGCCAACTCCAGTATTTTCTTTCTTGTCTTTGTTTCGAGTTTGACATTAGTCCATTTTTCCGCCTTCTCAGGATTAATGAAGTAGAAAAGGGAAGAATTTTCTGCCCAGCTATTATCATCGAAATGGATCAGTTTCTTCTGTTTAAGGATGCAAATCCTGAGGAAAAATGAGCTCTCAAATACCTCAGTTATATTTCGAGAAATGAACTGTCTTTTATAGACTCATTTAGTAATGAGAAGTGTTGAAAATAATAGTTCGAAGAGTAGATACTCTTGACTTTCAGTCTTGCCGTTATAGATCTCAAATGGTATTTCCAGTGATTGTATTTCCCCCGACTTCACCTCACTGTCCACATTTGCTCTCTGAATTTTAGGGACGGGATTATGGTCTGGGCATAAACTTTCAACTTAAGGATTGATTTTCAAC